CCCCTCTGAATCCTCCCGTCGCCGCTCCGCCTACTCCGTACTGCAGGAGCGCGGGTGCTTTCGTCTTGTTCCCCGGATTATCAGATGGAAAAATGTCTGGGTCTGGAAACTTGGAACTTGTGATGCTAACTTTGGACTCTTAGAGTCCAAAGTTAGCATCACAAGTTCCAAATTCTAGATTCTAGAAAAATTTGTATTGCATGACCAGCAAGAGGAGTCAAGTTTCTGCTACGCGGGGAGGCCATTTGTCATGCGGAATAGGCATCAATAAGCACTCGGAAAATCTGTGATGCCAGGGAATACATCACAGACGTCACGGGCCATGTAAAATCTGCATGACAAGTTCGGATCCTTCCAGACCCAGACATTTTTGCATTTGATACGGATGACATCATGATGAACTGGTGTTGTCCACCTCTCGTTCCGCATCTCGTCTTCTAATGCAAGTCTTGCATTACAAATCTTTCTTTTAAGGTAAATCCGCATTACAAATTTTATCTCTCATGCTGAGGAAGTTTGTGATGCATTTATACGAGTACGATACTTTTGCAGTTCATAACTCTCGTTCCGCCAGCACTCCTATCCTGTGCAAAAGTATCGTATTCGTATAAATGCAAGTCTTGCATTACAAATCTTTCTTTTAAGGTAAATCCGCATTACAAATTTTATCTCTCATGCTGAGGAAGTTTGTGATGCATTTATACGAGTACGATACTTTTGCAGTTCATAACTCCTGAGGTTGTAACTGCTGCTGTTTGGGGCGCCGCTGCTCTCCGCAACATTCATACTACTCCCCCGACCAACATCAGCCCCTGCGCGCGGCCCGAACGAATTTGTCCTGATCATGGCCTCCCGCACACTCCGATCTAACCAGGGATTCTGATCGTGAAACCGTTTGCGTAGGCCCATCATCGAGCTCGTGGTGCTCCCAACGGTTTTTGTCGCGGACAACCTCTGCGAAGTAGAAGATTCCGGTGGACTACTGGTCGCGATCGAAGAGGGTCGTGCAGCTGGGCGAGTGTAAGAACTATGTGCTGGGAACAAAGGCGCGGCTGCTCCGGGCGGGGTGAGGAAAGAAGATGCAGGGTTGTTGACAGAATTTGGCGGAAGATGGCCATGGCTAACATCTGCCTCCTCTTCTACATGGGTTTGTTCCTCATGCTCAACATCTTCGAACGCGATCCGACTCAACCTCCCCGCCGTGCTGTTCCGCAGAAACGCGGCGCCACCCGCGGTTTTGTACGCGGGGTTGGTTTATCAAATGCAAATGTGTCTGGATCTGGAAACTTGCGATGCTAAAATGTGGATAATGGAAACACTTCCGAATGCAGTCCAGCATGACCACAACTATCCAGGACGCTTTCTCATAGGCAGTCCGCATGAGAACCTGCGTTCTTCTTGCTGCATGACAAAAATGGCTGCGACTTTTGCTTGTTATGCAATGCAGATATCCCAGGAATGTAAAGCTAGCATTACAAGTTCCAACTTTCCAGACCCAGGCTAGATATTTGCATTTGGTATGGTTTTGTACAGCAAAACCTGCCCGACGGGAAGCTCGTCCGGGGGCAGGTTGATCAGCTCTATCAGAAGGAAAAATCTCCCCACCCCATATCGAGACGAAGTTTCTCATGCTGGATTTCCGTACACAAATGCGCGCTGTCTTGCGATACCTACGGCATCGCAGCCGGATCCTCAGCCTAGGGCGGGGCGTTTGGGTCTAGTTGCTTAGCATTGCAAATGGCTGTCCTCGAGGCCCAACAGCATGGCAAATCGCTTCCATATGGGCGGGGAAGGCTTTGCACTTGTCTTCATGCAAGACAGACGTGATTTGTGGCCTCAAATCAGCAAGACAAATTTTCGGAAACATGCCTTTTCAATATGGGGAGGGGAGATTTTTCCTGTCAATAAGCTCTTCAAAATCTTCGTTTTCCCCCCTGGATTTCAACACTTCCCGCCTCGTCCCCTGGACGTATGGATTGCAAATATGTCTGGGTCTAGAAGAGTGGAACTTGTAATGCTGTCTGCGAATTCTAAAAATATTTGTGTTGCATGAGCAGCAGGACGAGTCAGTTCTTGGCACGCGGAGAGAGCATAATTTCTCATGCGTAATTAGCATCAAGAAGCTTTCACAAAATCTGTGATGCTAGCACCAGCATCACAGACCTCACGGGTGGTCATGCAAAATGTGCATGACAAACCCCGACTTTTCCAGACCCAGACATTTTTGCAGTTGATAGGACGCCCCGTAGGTGTTTTTCCAAAAATTTTTCGTAGGTCCGCCAGCTGTAGTCGAATTTGCTGGTTAAAGAACAGTATCGAACGCAAAAATGTCGGGGTCTGGAAGGTTGCCAGGTTTGTCAAGCATATTTTGCATGACTCAGAATGTCTGTAATGCATGATCTAGCATCACATATTTTTAGAGGCCTTCCCGATGCCTATCCCGCATGACAAATGCCCTCCCCGCGTAGCACAAACTGGGCTCCTCTTGCTGGTCATGCAATACAGATTTTTTCAGAGTCCAAAGTTAGCATCACAAGTTCCAACCCTCCAGACCCAGACACATTTGCATTTGATAAACAGTGGGGGTATTCAAAATCAACCATCAAGTCTGTCCAGGATTTCACCAACCCGGATAACAGCAAGCAGAGAACAAACAGCACGAAGAGAAACAGAAAAAGCGAAATCCACGGCATGTTTCCCCTATGCACTGCAAAAGTATCGCACTCGTATAAATGCATGACAAATTTCCGCAGCATGAGAAATAAAATTTGTCATGCGGATTTACCTTGAGAAAAAAATTTGTAATGCATGATTGCAATTACTACGAGTACGATGCTTTTGCATTGCATATCCCCACAACAGGTAGTCGTTCAACCCCAGCGGTCGGTACCAATATCAAATGCAAAAGTGTCTGGGTCTGGGAAGATTGAACCTGTCTTGCGTGTCTGGCATTGCGGAAAAATCTGTATTGCATGAGCGGCAAAAGCAAAAAAAGCTCCGAACTTTCGTCGTGCAAAGTCGCAGCTTGTAATGCGTGCTACCAATGAGTAGAAAGCGTTTGAAAAATTTGTCATGCTTCACTGCACTTAAAGGCAAACCCAATCATGACCACTCAGCATTACAAGTTTCCAGACCCAGGCATATTTGCGTTTGATAACCAAACCCCGATCGCGATAAAGGCCGCTTCCCACGCGCCGATTTTCACAATCGCGATTTCCGCCCGCATATGAATTGCAAAAGTATCGCACTCGTATAAAAAATGCATTACAAATTTTTCCTCAGCATGAGAAATAATGAATTTGTAATGCTGATTTACCTATACGAAAAAAATTTGTAATGCATGATTGCAATACGAATACGATACTTTTGCACAGGATACCGCAGCCCCCGGTAGTAGCTGCTGTTTCCGACCAAGACGTGGCGGAATTTCAGCATCATTGACGCGCAGCACCAGATGTAGCAGATCAAAGCGAATAACCGGAGAAAGAGGGTAAGTATCCTGAGTAAAAACGTCCCCACACCATAGTCAACATGGAAAATCTGCTAGACAAATCAGCCAACTTTGGTTGTTTCGCATGACAAGTTTGTCCCCGTAGTGTAGTCCTGTTTAGCTAGTTCAGAAGCTGCATCACAGATCTGGCATATGATGCTATTTCTAGCATCACAAATCCCAAAACACGACCAGAAACTGCTTCTCATGGGTCTCCGCATCATCATCATCATGTAGTGGACACCCGCTCCCAGCGCCACAGGTCAAGGATCCCCTCCCCGGGGGGTGGGCGAGGAAGCACTTTCGGCGACCTCAACATACAAAAGCCGAGCGCTACCACGGCAAGTCGCCCCAATAAAAGTACCAACCAGTCGGGAGCTACCCACCACACCTGATCAGCACAGCCCGGCCAGCTAGCCGAGCCCGACAGCCCAACATACAGAACGATCCAGGACCCGACCCATTTTACGCCATACGTTTTTGTTCTCACGGAAGAGACGACGCACCCCTTTGGGTTAAGGGGCGAGACTCTCCCTTAAGCCGCAACCCCACCCGGACAGGGGAGGCTGGACCATTTTTTTCAGCATGCAGATTTGCATGACAACTCTGGGGTGGGGATGTTTTTACACAGGATAGTAAGCGTCCAAAAGTTATCCCCGTTTTTGTTCGGTAGGAAGGGGGCGCACTTGATGAAATTATTGAAGCCGGAATTGTACCAAAATTTGCCATCGTTGGTCAAGTTGTCGCAGTATTTGATCGGGTTGTAGTGGGCAAAGCTCGGTGGGATGCCCTGGGTTATCAAGGGAATGTTCGGTCCGGCCTGGTTTGGCTTCACCTTATCTTCTCCGATCACCACCGTGCCCGACGATCGGACGTACACATCGAAGCTCGCTCTTTGCACCAGCATCTGCCGCTCGAAGACCCATTCGAAAATGCCTTGATTCCAGTATTGTGACGAATAATCCCCCCCCCGTATCGGACAGCGGACTTGTGATGCTGGATTTGCGTACGCATATGCGTTTGTATTGCTAGAAGGGCAAGAGACGCAGCTGTGGCCTTGTTTGCAGGCAATTTGTCATGCTGCTTTCCACTGCCAGTCTCCTCTAGTCATGCTGAAGATGCAAGGCCTCTCCACGCCAGCCAGCACTACAGTGTCTACGTCTTTTGCATTCTAGCATGACAAAAGGATTTGCGGTCACAAATCAGCATCACAAATTTCCAGTTTGAGTGTGGGGTGGGCAGATTTTTCATTTTGATATCCACCCGATCTCGCATCGCGCCCATAGGTCGAAAATGAAGCAGTATCAAATGTAAAGATGTCTGGGTCTGGAAACTTGTGATGCTCTGTGGCGTATCATGAGGAAGCCACAATTGCTGGCTCAGCATGACAAGTTTCTGAGCTCCTAGGTGTTGCCTATTCTGCATGACAGACTGCGCTTCCGCATCACAGAAAAACGGAGCTCTTGGGTAACGCGCATGACAGATTTAAGAGTCATGCCAGACAAGCATGACAGACATGAATTCTTCCAGACCCAGACATTTTTACACTTGATAAGCAGAGAAAGGAAACGACTCCGTTAAACCCGGCTATCCCAGTATGGTGAGCAAAAACGTCCCCATCCCAGAGTCAAGATGGGAAATCTGCTACACAAATCGCCCGGCTCTGGCTGTTGCGCATGACAAATTTGGGCTCGCATTGTAGTCGTGCTTAGCTAGTGCAGCAGCATCACAGATGTAGCATACCATGCGGATTTGAGCATCACAAATATCAGAACACCAATAGAAACTGCTTCTCATGGGTTTCCGCATGAGAAAGAGAAACATATTCAGCATGCAGATTTGCATTACAACTCTGGGGTGGGGACGTTTTTACAAATGATACCCAGCAGCCCACCCGTGCCACGCGTCGGAAGTGAGAAAGGAAACGTTGCGGTTTCTTATGGAGGCGTCAGGATCAAAATCGACAAAGTTGAAATAAATAATTTGTGTTGCAAAAAACGGATACCAGTTGGCGCCCGGTTTTCAAGTGGCGCATGACAAATTGGGGTAGGACCGAGTTTCAGTTTGTCGTGCTGTTTGGGAAAGGAAGACGCTTCTTGTCATGCTACTTACTTTATTAGCAGCTATATTTCTACCAGTCCACAGGCTTACAATCTGCCTCACTTGCCTACTCTGCAAGACAGGCACCTTGTGGGTTGCATTCTATGCATCACAAGTTTTTCAACTTTCTCAATTTCGGTCCTGACACTCTCATATTTCTCAGGAGTAATTTTACCTCGTCGTCCGTAATGTCGTTCGGTAAATCGTAGGCCCAGTAATCCTTCCGCTTCTGTCTGGGGATAAACACGGAGAACATCAACCCTCCAACGAGCAAAAACACCCGGAGAATGTCGAAAGTGTATCGGAGAAACGTCACAATTGGGTTAAACACTGCCGGCTGGTTCTGGCCGCACGCGTCGTCCTGCGCTGCTTGTCCCGCAGCGGCTCCGGCACCGGTGTCATCCGGCCCGTTCCCGGCCTCCTGGCAGGGGGCGGAGACCAAAGTGAGTTATCGCAAGAAAAAACTGTTTCACTGTGAACTTGTGATGCATAGAATGGAACACAGAACTATTTGTCTTGCTACACCTGCAAGGCATTGGATTTTTAAGCATGTTTTCTCTTGGAAAGCGCGCATGGCAAATTTTCTGTGTCATCTGTAGCAAACTTGTGACGCGGATCTTGCAAAACCATCACAGTGAAACAGATTTTTCGTGGGATATGAGTAGGTACGGCGGTAAAAAGTGCATCTCGAAGAAACTTACCTGCATGAAGAGCAAGCAGGCGACCAGCCAGGTACCCTTGAACACGCTAGACGGGGTTTCCTCTAGATCCGCCATCATCTCACTCATGTGCACTTCGCCGTAGGAAAGAATGTTGTGGATGCAGATGGCTTTTTCTTCGTTGAGAAGCGCCTGCTCCTGCTTCAGAGCGTGTTCTAACTTCCTCCCCCTTTCCGTCTGCTGAAATTCTTGGTTTTGGAAAATGATTGGCAAATCCGTACCGGGGGTAGACTCGCCGGAAGAGGAGTGATCATCCGCAACCTCGTCGATCTGTTCAAGAAGAACGCGCGTTGACGTGTCGTTATGGAGCAGCCTCTCATGTTCATCTGGTGGTGGCAGCAAGCTGCTTGCTCCGTTTGTTCGATAGGCACCATTTGCCATGATTATACCACTGTCCGGTAGATTGAGGTTAGCATCGTGGTCGAGTTGGGCGCTGTTGGTCGTGGGAAAATAGAGCTCGTCGTTGTCAAACAAGTGATTGTCTTCTCCAGCGGCAGCGACGGGACGAGGAGGTCCGAAGCCGCGTCCCCCGTTAGCATCCGCAGCCGCATTCATCGTCCGGGCTGCAACCCTGCGGCTGAAGAGCCCTAGGATTTTTTTCTGTTCCGTTTCCTTTTTGAGCTTGTAAATTTTCTCCTTCAATTTTTGGTCCCGTTCCCTCAAGTCGAAGTACCCGAAGGCGCGCATCAAAATTCGACATTTTAGCGTTCCCCGCAAACTCTGGATTGTGAAAATGTCTGGGTCTGGAAGAATGCAAGTTTGTCATGCTTGTCTGGCATGGCTCGAGAATCTGTGTTGCATAGGCGCGAAAAGGCCCTCTTGCCTGTCATGCAAAACCGCAGTTTGCCATGCGGAATACGTAAAACATGGCAGCCAAAAAATTTGTCATGCATAGGTGCGTATTGCAGTGCGTCTACCATTCACTTTTAGCATTACAAGTTTCCAGACCCAGACATTTTTGCAATCCATACCAACTCCGCAACGCACCCCGCATGCCGTAGAGTAGTAATGCTATGCCGACCAAAAGGGTGAACGAATTTCCAAAATTACGGAGAAAGTCCGTCATTTTCGTAGTGTATCTATTTCTATTTTTATTTTGGCGAGTTAAAAATAAAAACGACTTGACGGGTTGTACTTGTTGTAAGGGTCGTTCCGCTAGATGTAGTACTTACTTTTTACCGAGAGGAAAACAAAAGCGCCAAACGGCAGAAGTAGACGAAGGTGAAAGAGTATAAAAAAGATAACTTTGGTGTATTTCGTAAGCTCAACATCCGTAGCCGTAGAGCGGCATGTTGTAGGCGGGTAAAGAAAATGCTATATCCTGCAACTGCTGAGGTCAGCACAACTTCCTTTTTATTGCTTTTGAGCGCCGAGGAATGTTATTCACGGTGACTCTATTGAATCCACTTGTCGTTCTCTATTTCCATCAAATCCGCACAGGAATTACAATTTCCTGACCGACATATCCTCTTGAGCAGGCGCAGACAGACGTTTTATCTTCTTCTTGCACGAGCCATTGCCATGGAGGTTCGCAATACAAGGTCTACTGACAGAGGGATGATCCTTCTTCAGGGCAGCAAACCGAATTCGATGTCGTGTCGAGGAAAAAAGTTTTCCAACTACTTCTAAGTACTCTAAGAATAAGCACATCAAACAACGACAGATCATGTTCTTGCACGGATGTTGTGTTTTATCGTGCTGTCGTGCCTATCAATCATTGAGACGTCGTGTTCAGTAGCACAACACCTTCTTCTTCTTCAACCGATCATACCGATTTTCAGTGTTGTTCACAGGATGTTCACACCTATCTTCATCGGTCAAGATCTTGTTTTTCTTCTTGGTCGTTGCTACTCGGTTTCGCTTTTTTCTGTATCGTGTACATCGTACTACTATCGTAGAGTCGCATGATGAAGTCCTTTTTTGGGGAATGTTTTTTTTACTTGTGTCTACCCGTTTTTTTGCCAATCGGCCAGTAGGTTTTAGTTCCGAGATTCACACTTAGATAGACCCTGGAACATGTGAAACACACTACAACCTGTACAATGATGTTGTGAGCCGTTGGCTCAAGATTGAGCAAAACAATCAGGAAGAAGTTTTTTGTCACCCCCGGGCATACGCAATACAAACGTGTTCAAGTGGCAAGATCTACCGATCAACAGAGTTATGAGCCTCCGTATACAGTAAGCCACTTCTTGCATGCACCCCAAGAACACGAGTAAATCTTACGACATCTTTTCCCAGCAGAATAAGACACTATATGCATCAAAAGTAAAGATGGTGCCACCTGAGAATTCTCGTGCCCCGCAGAACAAGATTGGCGGCCTAGCCACCATAAACGCGGCGAAGTACGTGTACCTGGCCGGTTCCAAGGACCAGGTTTGGCAGATCTTCACCCGCAAGGCCGGCGCCAGTGCGGTGAACGATCAGAACAAGCACCAGTTCTTGAAGGTCAACGAAGAATACTACTTCTTGAAGCTTGTCGCCAGGGTGGCGAACAACATCCGGGCCACCGAGGGGAACGTAGACCCGAACGAACTGAGCAAGGAGAATTTGAAGGAGCTGAAGCAGCAGGCGTTCGACCTGCTTGAAAACAACGTGTTCAGTAGCACAACACCTTCTTCTTCTTCAACCGATCATACCGATCTTCGAAAACATGTCCATTTCATCTTGTTCACGATTGTGGTTTCTGTCACTGTTTCTGATTTGGATTCTACGTACATCACAACTTTAGTGCGGCGTTCTCCCTTGTTTCCACCCCCGACCAGCGGAACCCCAGCCACTTGCGTGCCGAAAGCCACAAACACCAGCGTCTTCGGAGGTTTCGCCACCACTACTTGCCCCGCACCCGCCGCGGCGCCCGAGGTGGTGGGCCCGGCTCCTGCGCCGGCAACTGCCAGCGCTTCGAGCTCCGCGACTTGGGGCGCCACGTCAGTTGCAGCTTCCGGTTCTCCGGCAGGCGGAGCACCGCTGTTCAGCCAGAACACCCGCTTCGCAAACGCCGGATCGTCACCGGCGAACAGCGAGTGCACCGGCTCGCCGGCTGTCCCTGCGACGAGTCTTTCGTACCCACCTCCCGCCAGCGCCGCGTTGTCGCGCGGAAACCAGGGCAGCGCGGAGCAGATCCGATCGACCGGAAACCAGTCCGGGAAGGGGCAGGAAACCTCTTCTCCCTCGTATCAAACGGAAAAATCCCCCCTCCCCATATCGAAATGGAAATCTGTGATGCAGGATTTGAGGCACCAAGTCGACTTGTCATGCTAGAAGGCCAAGAGCCGCAGTCGTGGTCTCGTTTGCAGGCAATTTGTCATGCTGTTTCCCACTCTCAGCTGCCTCCTGTCATGCTGAAGATGCAAGGCTCCCCCACGCCACCCAGCACTACAGTCCGCATATTTTCCCGCGTAGCATGACAAAGCTGATTTGTGACAACAAATCTGCATCACAGATTTCCGTTTTGATATGGGGAGGGGGGATTTTTTCTTTTGATACCTCGCTCGGGCAGCCGGGCAGACTGAGCACGCTCCGGACGATGGCGGCGACGTCCCCGCCTCCCGGGAGATAGGGACCGGTCGGCGCGGCGAATATTATCTTGTGCATGTCGGCTACGGCAGCTGCGTCGGCCGTTGCAGCTGAGCCCATCCAGGGGGACATCATCGCCGCGACATACGGATTGCCCGCCCACCCAAACAGCTTGCCGCCCGCCGGAAAGACGCCGGGGTCCTCCAGAAACTCGGCTAGGAGGCCAAGAAAAGCGCCCCCCGGGTAGTGGACGTCCAACACGATATGGATGGGGCGTCGCGCCTCGTCCCGCGGACTCTTTTCGTCCAACGGCACGCCCCAGGCGGCGAGCAGCTGCTGCGCGATCCCACGTCGCTCTTCTTTCAACGGGACTACGGCGCGGAAGGCGGAAAAGAACTTCCAAAGCGCGGGCTGCGACACCTCCACGTACCTAGCGACCACCTCTCCGAGAGGCGTTGCGCCGTCGGCCGCTGCTACGAAGGGAGCTTTGTCACCAAGGGTTAGCAACTCCATCAGCATTGCCCCGAATGGCGACTCCGACGGCAGACCGAGCCCGAGGGGCTTGGGCTCGAACAACGTGGCGATACTGTTGAAATTTTGGAGGATCGTCGCATCGTCGTTGTACCCATGAAAGGCACGCAGCGCGTCCTTAACGGGAGCCATCTGATTCAGCTCCGTCCCGAACGTCTCCACGAAAACCAGCTTCGGGCGCAGCGGCCTTGGAGTAGAAACGCGAGCCTAGAAATTTGATTGCGAATGGAGTCTTCACATGAAAAAAGAAACATAATCTTAGCCGCAAACTACTACTACTCCTACTACTCCTACTACTCCTACTACTCCTACTACTACTCCTACTACTCCTACTACTCCTACTACTCCTACTACTCCTACTACTCCTACTACTCCTACTACTCCTACTACTCCTACTACTCCTACTACTACCACTACTACTGACTGCTTTATCCGAATATTTTCTTGGAGGCTTTTTGTAGCCGCAAACTTATACATAAAGATCACAAGAGCAACATCAGATCGGATTTTTGAAGAGAATAATCGGAGTTCGCTGCCGTCGTGTTCTTCACAAGTTCTGTGGGTACGATCCCGGGATCCAAGTGTTGTCGAATTTCTTCATCAACATTTGAACATTGGTTTCCCTCTCCACTCCGCTGGCTCTACGGTTGCTCGCACGGGACCCGGTCCGGAGTGAGCAACACCACCGCGGCAAGAAAACCTTCGCTGTGCATAGGTTCTGTCGCCAATTGACAGTGTTGCATCAGTTCGCCGCTACGTCGTCCCAACGTATGTAAGTCGTTGTCGGTGATGAAGCCTTAGTAGTACCTTTCGGATACTAAAAAGTACTTCCGGAGGGAAAGACAAGTCCCTACTAGGTTGACCGGTCTGCGTCCTCCACGGTACTCCTATTACACTACCTCGCCCCCTGACACCTCCTAACTACCCTAAAGGACGGGAAGCCAGCCTGGTCTTTGCAATTTTGTGGACTCTAGAGCTAAGTCATCTACTGCTAACTACTAACACAATAAATCCGCTACAACCAGAAGAAAAAGTGATAAGTACTCGAAGCCTGCTATCGACACCCAAAATTGCCAGAAAGCCCAACACGGACACCACGGTCGTGGGCACCAGGCGGAAAGGAGTAGCGAAATTGAGCATCGTGCGTCGATATGCATGGCAAATATGTCTGGGCCTGGAAGATTAAAACTTGTCATGCTAAGTTGTAATGATGATTCAAATCTGTTCGACTCTAAGCCTTAGATTGTCCCTTATCGACTCCTATTCTTCTACGTCCCTGGAGTCTCATTATAGCTTGAATAGGTAGTTGTTGGTTTTGGAAAGACGCGGCGGAAGAAGTGCTGTCGTTTTGTGCTGTTTTTTGGGTGCCTTGCTGCGCCCCTTTTGTTATTTGTCGCCAAAGATTCCGGTCGAGACAGTCGCGAATAATAACATGCTAAGTTGTAATAATCTGAACGATGCAAAAATCTGTGTTGCGTCAGTACCAAAAGCTGTCCGCTTTCGACCAAGTTGAGAGGGGGTCTCTCATACAGGAAAGGCATGATAGAGACCTCAAAGAATCTGTCATCATGCTCAGTCTCGCATTCCAGACCTCATGGGTCATGGAAAACCTGCATGCCAAGTCTTGCAACGTTCCAGACATCCAGGAGTATTTGCGCTCGATAGTCGAAAGCCCGACATTTTTTGACTTGTCGTGTCGCGCGACGGATCACTGGGATTCAAAGCCAAGGTATTTGGCTTTCAGTTTCTTTCCTTCTCCTGAGTAAAAACGTCCCCACCCCAGAGTTGTCATGCAGAATTGCAAGGACAGGAACGTTTGCAATGCGCATCCCCAAGAGAGACATTTTCAATCGGATTTCGGGATTTGTAATGCTGCAAACAGGATAAGGGGACGGCTTTGTCATTCGGCTGTGCTTGCTAAGCAGCACTACAATACAGCGAGAAACTTGTCATGCGTGATTCTCAAAACTTCTGGATTTGTGTTGCAGAGATTCCAACTTGACTATTGGGTGGGGACGTTTTTACACAGCATACAACTGGTGGAAGTGCTACTACTGCTAGTGGTGGTTGCGCGACGAGCCCTTGTACAACTTCTAGGCGGGGTATTGCTTGCTAAATAGGGGTATCGTGCGCTAATTTTCCCGCTAGATTGATGTACGTACCTACCAAGAGGAAAACAAAAAAGCAGAAGGTTTTCAAATACTTGTACTTCTACTTCAGTATATATAAAAAAGTTAACTTTGTTGTATTTGGTAACCTTATCGATCCGTAACCGTAGAGCGGTATCAAAAAGAGTAAAAAATTGTAATTTCTGCAGCTGCTGAGACCAACTTCTTTCTTCACTGCTTTGAAGCTGCGCCCAGAGATAGTCAACTTGGTGACAACTTCAATTGCATCAAACATTTGCCATTCATCTCTACATCTACTTAGTACATCACATCCGCACATAAATTTGCTGACCGAGACCGACAAATCTTCTTCAGCAAGCGCAGACAGACGTTTTATCTTCTTCTTGCACAACCGCCGCATATTCGCAATACAAGGTCTACTGACAGAGGGATCCTTCTTCGCGGTAGCAAACCGAATTGGATGTGTTGGAGAAAAAACGTTTCCTACTTCTACTCTAAGAAGAGGCAGAAACAAGTAGTACAGATGTTTTTCACGTGTCGTCGTCGTGCTCATCAATCACCTTGAGAAAAATCTTTGATACGTATTCAGTTGTACCACAGCACCTTCTTCAACCGATACCGAACTTCAAAAACGTTTCATCATTATTGTGCTTTCTGTAGTTTACTGCCACTGTTACTTATAGTTTCTGTTATCTGATCGTGATTCTGCATGACAACTTTAGTGCTCCTAGCGTGGCGGACCAATGATGATGTAAATCTATTCGAGGTAGTCCCCTTAGATTATCCTCTTCCGTCCTCTAAGTCTCATGATTGCTTGGATTGGTAGTCTTTCGTTGTTGTTGTTTGTTTGAAAGGAGAGTGCTGAAGATGTATTGCTGCTGCTTGTTGTTTTTGCTGATCCTGTTGTTGCGCCTGTGGTGATGTCTCGCCATAGATTTCGATCAAGGCAGTATGCGCATAATTCCCATTTGCTTACCGTCCGATCATACCTGCAGTGCATGTCGTTGTCAGTCCTATCGATTCTTCAATACCAGTCCGCATCAGGCAACGCAAAGTTGCCCTTGGTTGCCAAGCGTTCAAAAACATTTCATCATGATATTAGTTGTGCTTGTGTCGTCGTTCACGTGTAGTGAGAAAATAATTCATCTTCGCATGGAAAAATTACTTATTGCGGTAGAATACGTATCAGCATCGTCTGAAACAGTGGCACTGGCATCAAGAACCGATCTTCATAATTGAGCGTGACGTGAGTGTATTGCCATCCGGCGTGACAAATTCCTCTTCCACAGAACCATCCGCGGCGGCCTTTGCCTTTTCCTGCTGTAGATCAAGCGCAAGAATCTCCATTGCATTTCTCGCATGACAGATCTGATTCGTGTTGCTGGATCTTCATCATGATACTGGTCGTTGCAGTAGGATTGTATTCCCTTGATAGTGATACGACTCCTAATTTGGTGCATAGGTAAGTCGACCGTGGAGAGAGAAATTTGATTTCCGCTTCAACCGGCATCCCAGTCGACAATTTGCCATGCTAAAAGCAATGACACGTCACTGAAAGGAATGTTTGACAAATGAAGCGATACTGATCTGGCTGTCGATTAAGTATCTGGCTTTTGATGTAGACATTTTCTTGCGATTTGTGGCTGCAGGCCGGGCGGACTCTCGTTTTTATGGAAAATTCACTTTCGAAAGAAAGCAATTCAAACCTACACTTTACTTTCAGAAACCGCTCCTGTGAGTTTCCCAACGCAGAAAAGAGCTAGCACTCCATCAAAACGCGAAATAACGCCGCGGGCCGGCGGTATGCTCATTTTCATGCTGCGGGTAAAACAGCAAGAAAAGCAAGCACCGCCAAAAGCTCTTTTTTGCTTCCAGGGCGGGATTAGCTGCAAAAGCAAAACCTTGCTGGCTTTCGCAGACCTTTTCTTGCGATTTCTGGCTGCGGGCCGAGCGGACTCTCGTTTTTATGTAAAATCCATTTTCGCAAAAAAGCAAATCAAACGTATACTTTACTTTCAGAAACCGCTCCTGCAAGTTCCCCGATGCGGGAAAGAGCTAGCACTCTTCCAAAACCTAAAACAACGCCGCGGGCCGACGGTATGCTCATTTTCATGCTGCGGGTAAAACAGCACGAGAAGGAAGCACCGCCAAAAGCTTTTTTTTGCTTCCAGGGCGGGATTAGCTGCAAAAGCAAAACCTTGCTGGCTTTCGCAGACCTTTTCTTGCGATTTCTGGCTGCGGGCCGAGCGGACTCTCGTTTTTATGTAAAATCCATTTTCGCAAAAAAGCAAATCAAACGTATACTTTACTTTCAGAAACCGCTCCTGCAAGTTCCCCGATGCGGGAAAGAGCTAGCACTCTTCCAAAACCTAAAACAACGCCGCGGGCCGACGGTATGCTCATTTTCATGCTGCGGGTAAAACAGCACGAGAAGGAAGCACCGCCAAAAGCTTTTTTTTGCTTCCAGGGCGGGATTAGCTGCAAAAGCAAAACCTTGCTGGCTTTCGCAGACCTTTTCTTGCGATTTCTGGCTGCGGGCCGAGCGGACTCTCGTTTTTATGTAAAATCCATTTTCGCAAAAAAGCAAATCAAACGTATACTTTACTTTCAGAAACCGCTCCTGCAAGTTCCCCGATGCGGGAAAGAGCTAGCACTCTTCCAAAACCTAAAACAACGCCGCGGGCCGACGGTATGCTCATTTTCATGCTGCGGGTAAAACAGCACGAGAAGGAAGCACCGCCAAAAGCTTTTTTTTGCTTCCAGGGCGGGATTAGCTGCAAAAGCAAAACCTTGCTGGCTTTCGCAGACCTTTTCTTGCGATTTCTGGCTGCGGGCCGAGCGGACTCTCGTTTTTATGTAAAATCCATTTTCGCAAAAAAGCAAATCAAACGTATACTTTACTTTCAGAAACCGCTCCTGCAAGTTCCCCGATGCGGGAAAGAGCTAGCACTCTTCCAAAACCTAAAACAACGCCGCGGGCCGACGGTATGCTCATTTTCATGCTGCGGGTAAAACAGCACGAGAAGGAAGCACCGCCAAAAGCTTTTTTTTGCTTCCAGGGCGGGATTAGCTGCAAAAGCAAAACCTTGCTGGCTTTCGCAGACCTTTTCTTGCGATTTCTGGCTGCGGGCCGAGCGGACTCTCGTTTTTATGTAAAATCCATTTTCGCAAAAAAGCAAATCAAACGTATACTTTACTTTCAGAAACCGCTCCTGCAAGTTCCCCGATGCGGGAAAGAGCTAGCACTCTTCCAAAACCTAAAACAACGCCGCGGGCCGACGGTATGCTCATTTTCATGCTGCGGGTAAAACAGCACGAGAAGGAAGCACCGCCAAAAGCTTTTTTTTGCTTCCAGGGCGGGATTAGCTGCAAAAGCAAAACCTTGCTGGCTTTCGCAGACCTTTTCTTGCGATTTCTGGCTGCGGGCCGAGCGGACTCTCGTTTTTATGTAAAATCCATTTTCGCAAAAAAGCAAATCAAACGTATACTTTACTTTCAGAAACCGCTCCTGCAAGTTCCCCGATGCGGGAAAGAGCTAGCACTCTTCCAAAACCTAAAACAACGCCGCGGGCCGACGGTATGCTCATTTTCATGCTGCGGGTAAAACAGCACGAGAAGGAAGCACCGCCAAAAGCTTTTTTTTGCTTCCAGGGCGGGATTAGCTGCAAAAGCAAAACCTTGCTGGCTTTCGCAGACCTTTTCTTGCGATTTCTGGCTGCGGGCCGAGCGGACTCTCGTTTTCATACAAAATTCACTTTCGCAAAAAAGCAACTCAAGCGCACACTTTACTTTCAGAAGCCGCTCCTGTGAGTTCCCCGATGCGGGAAAGAGCTAGCACTCTTCCAAAACCTAAAACAACGCCGCGGGCCGATGGTATGCTCATTTTCATGCTGCGGCAAAAACAGCAGAAAAAAGAGACACCGCCAGAAGTTTTTTTTGGCTAGCAGGGGGGGACAATAGCTGCGGGAGCAAAAGCTGCCTGGCTTCTGCAGGGATTTTTTTGCGATTTGTGATCCGCGGACGAGCTAACTCCTGTTTTTGTGCAAAATCTGCTTTCAAAGAAATCCCGGCGAAAGCGCCAGCGCATCTCTAGAAACAGCTCCTATTTGTCATCCGAAAGATACAGGAGCTACAACACCTGAAAAACCTAAAACGACACCCGCGGACGGTGGCATGCTCATTTTCCTGGTGTGGGTAAACCACCGGGAAAATAAAAGCAACATCCGCAGGAAGTCTTTTTTGCTAACAGGGGGGGAATCGCTCTGGGAAGAAAAGCTGCCTGTCTTCTGCAGGGCTTTTTTTGCGATTTGTGATCCGCGGACGAGCTAACTCCTGTTTTTGTGCAAAATCTGCTTTCAAAGAATGCCCTGCAAAAGCAACATCGTACCTCTAGAAACAGCTCCTATTTGTCACCCGAAAGACACAGGAGCAACAACACCCGAAAAACCTAAAACGACACCCGCGGACGGTGGCATGCTCATTTTCCTGGTGTGGGTAAACCACCAGGAAAAAGCAACATCCGCAGGAAGTCTTTTTTGCTAACAGGGGGGGAATCGCTCTGGGAAGAAAAGCTGCCTGTCTTCTGCAGGGCTTTTTTTGCGATTTGTGATCCGCGGACGAGCTAACTCCTGTTTTTGTGCAAAATCTGCTTTCAAAGAATGCCCGGCAAAAGCAACATCGTACCTCTAGAAACAGCTCCTATTTGTCACCCGAAAGACACAGGAGCAACAACACCTGAAAAACCTAAAACGACACCCGCGGACGGTGGCATGCTCATTTTCCTGGTGTGGGTAAACCACCAGGAAAAAGCAACATCCGCAGGAAGTCTTTTTTGCTAACAGGGGGGGAATCGCTCTGGGAAGAAAAGCTGCCTGTCTTCTGCAGGGCTTTTTTTGCGATTTGTGATCCGCGGACGAGCTAACTCCTGTTTTTGTGCAAAATCTGCTTTCAAAGAATGCCCGGCAAAAGCAACATCGTACCTCTAGAAACAGCTCCTATTTGTCACCCGAAAGACACAGGAGCAACAACACCTGAAAAACCTAAAACGACACCCGCGGACGGTGGCATGCTCATTTTCCTGGTGTGGGTAAACCACCAGGAAAAAGCAACATCCGCAGGAAGTCTTTTTTGCTAACAGGGGGGGAATCGCTCTGGGAAGAAAAGCTGCCTGTCTTCTGCAGGGCTTTTTTTGCGATTTGTGATCCGCGGACGAGCTAACTCCTGTTTTTGTGCAAAATCTGCTTTCAAAGAATGCCCGGCAAAAGCAACATCGTACCTCTAGAAACAGCTCCTATTTGTCACCCGAAAGACACAGGAGCAACAACACCTGAAAAACCTAAAACGACACCCGCGGACGGTGGCATGCTCATTTTCCTGGTGTGGGTAAACCACCAGGAAAAAGCAACATCCGCAGGAAGTCTTTTTTGCTAACAGGGGGGGAATCGCTCTGGGAAGAAAAGCTGCCTGTCTTCTGCAGGGCTTTTTCTGCGATTTGTGATCCGCGGACGAGCTAACTCCTGTTTTTGTGCAAAATTTGCTTTCAAAGAATGCCTGGCAAAAGCAACATCGTATCTCTAGAAACAGCTCGTATTTGTTACACGTAAGACGCAGGAGCTACAACACCTGAAAAACCTAAAACGACACCCGCGGACGTTGGCATGCTCATTTTCCTGGTGTGGGTAAACCACCAGACAAAAGCAACATCCACAGGAAGTCTTTTTTGCTAGCAGGGGGGCAGCCGCTCTGAAAAGAAAAGCTGCCTGTGTTCTGCAGGGCTTTTTTTGCGATTTGTGATCCGCGGACGAGCTAACTCCTGTTTTGGTGCAAAATCTGCTTTCAAAGAAATCCCGGCGAAACCGCCAGCGCATCTCTAGAAACAGCTCCTATTTGTCACCCGTAAGATACAGGAGCTGCAACACCTGAAAAACCTAAAACGACACCCGCGGACGGTGGCATGCTCATTTTCCTGGTGTGGGTAAACCTCCATGAAAAAGCAACACCCACAGGAAATCTTTTTTGCTAGCAGGGGGGAGCCGCTCTGGAGAGAAAAGCTGCCTGTCTTCTGCAGGGCTTTTTTTGCGATTTGTGATCCGCGGACGAGCTAACTCCTGTTTTTGTGCAAAATCTGCTTTCAGAAAAAGACCGCTGAATGCTACACCCAACCTCTACAAACCGCTCCTGTGCGGCACCAACGACATAAAGGAACTGGGAGAATCCACAACCGCAAACGACACCCGCGGACGACCTACAGCTCATTTTCCTGACGTGGGTAAAGCAGCAAGAGAAAGAAGCAACCAGAGAAGCTTTTTTCTGCTCGCAGGACCGACAACTTCGCATGAAAATACTTCCTCGCCACGCAACTTCGGCAGAAGACCGACGAAAAAACCGACACTTATGGCATTTTTGGGGTAGGTGGACATTCATAAAGACCTTGCTCACCGACATAAAGTAAGTACTCAAACTAGAAGTACCTTCTTCATTTTCTGTTAGGTTACTCACCTACGGCCAAGAAGTACTCGTTCTTTATCTCCGCAAGACTGAACAAACGTTTCCAGCTGTCTTCCACGTGTCTCCCGCACTACAGGGAGTCCAAATCCATTGCCATTGAAATTATCGTCGTGACCACTTGTGTGAAACAAAACTACTTTATTACGTCAGACTTTTCCTGCAGTGTCTGAAATTTCTTCTAATGCTGGTCAAGAAGCACGTACTGACTACATGGCACTGCTTCATCGAGTTCGTGATCTTGGCAAAGTGAAGGAGACTGATTAAATACTGAACAACGCCTCGTATATAAAATTTTGCCTCTTTTGCTTTTGAATTTGGAAATCCCGACCCAGATGCAGAACACAGAAATTGATGTATACGAAAAAAACAACACAGGACATGATGAAAACGAATGTACATACTGAATGACTGCCCTCTTCTGGTAAGTATAATACTCTACTTGATACTACGGCTCTGGTTCCTCCAGGAAAAAGAAATAAAGTAGTACGATTTGTGAGAATGAAATGTGGCGGAAACAGCCGATATAACTTATGGAATTTGATTTCGACAAAGAAAAGGAAAACAATAACAAATGAATGCTGTACTTGAGAAAAAGAAAAAACCTGCTGTATTCCACCAAAACGTCACTGTGTTCTGCAAGCGGAAGCTGCAGTTCCGACCGTATTTAAGTTTATCAAAAGGTCACAGCTGCTCAAATGTGCTCCGGCTCCTGCGGCGCGTCATGCTCCGGCTCTTCCGACGCGTAGGTCTCCAGGTCATAAGACGGGTCCTGCATCTTTTGCAGCCTCCGCCCGCCATTGTCCGCTGACCGAGAGGACTTCTGACGCCCCGCCCGATAGCTGCGGGTACCCGCGGGCACCTTGGCCGCGTCGTAGCTGTGTTGATGTTATATTTTTTTTTGTCATGCAACAAAACCAGTATAATATTAAGAGACAGGACTTTGTCATGCTCGAAGAACTACGAGTACGACATAATTTTTACACGTATATAATCAGCCGATTGCTATAATACCTGTCCTCGTACCCCCCAGCGTAATACCCGGTTTGCACGTCGTCCAACGCCTGCGGCTTGCGCTTCTTGCGGGAAGCCTCGCCCAGAGAGTATGGCGATGGCAGAAACTTTTTGCTTCAAAACTTTTTTTTTTTTGGGCATGCAATTCACCCATCATGAGAACTAGACACCTGCTGGGCGGTGAATATTCCGCGCATGAACAGGACGGCATTTCGTGTAGGCTGAGCTAGCTAGTCTAAATGCAGGGACAGGGTCGGCCTGCCTATCGGCTGCGTCACGGATTCGTCCTGAGCGCTTTGACCTCCAGATGCGTGACAGGTAAGTCCCCCGCCGCGGCCTTGGCGTGTCGAGAAGTAGTTCATGATATGGCAGCGCAATTCTGACTGTTCGCACAAGGGCGGCAGTCTCAAACGAGCATGGCCACGGGACCTGGCGCCCTATAGCTTCCAAAATACTCTGTGAGCCACTGATAGTGTAGGCGCACAGAGCCAATAAAGTCGCCCGCTTTATTCCGGGCCCGACTGTGTAACACCCGTCCTTGCCGGGTTCGCGTGATCATTTTTCCTGACATTGCTTTTGAAAAGCTGCAAACTTGCGGAAGAAAAAAGGGGGCTCGGCCCCCCCCTTGAGGGGGGGGTTTGGGGGACCCCCCTTCGTGGAGATACTAAGGGGGAGCACCCTTCTGCGAAGACCCAAAAGGGGGGGGGGGTTTGGGGAAGGGCCTGGGGGTACCCCTTGAGGGTTTTTGCTTGCTTCCGAAGACGCAAGATTCTTTTGCTCTTTGTAAAACAACCAGGGCTGAAAAGCGCTGGCCCGAGCCCAAGACCCGAAGTCGTGGCGTATCCGCGGCGCCTATGTCATTGGGGCCGTCGCGCTTAGCTTTGAATTGTTTGACAACCGGACGTGGCCACCTGTTTTGCCTACCGGGGCAAGGGCCAGCTGTTTGCCACGAGCCGCGGCACAGACGGCCTCGGCTTGGCTGCGTAATTCTTTTATCCGACCAGCGCCATTCCATACTGTGTCTGTCCGGCTCCTGCGCCTGCCGTCACGGACCGGACCCGGGACGCAACCGGCGGCAAGGTCCGTCCTGTTCCTGCATGCAGACCAGCAAATTTGACATGGGCATAAAGCCGCAGCGCGCACGCGTGAGATAGTCGCAGCTGAGACGATATCTACTTTTCGCGCTGGGTGATGCGCATGGCGAAAAAAAAAAAAGTTTTGCAGGAAAAAGTTTCTGCCACTGCCATAACCCCCCAGCGTAGTACCCAGTTTGCACGTCGTCCAACGCCTGCGGCTTGCGCTTCTTGCGGGAAGCCTCGTCCAGAAATTCCCAAGTCTGAAAGGCCTGGTCCGCCAGTATGGCCAGCCTTCTTGCAGCCTGTTCCGGGGATCGCACACACCTGCCCAGCATTTGCACAACCCGCACGGCAGCCCGGGAGAGATCACTGTCCGGGAGGTTGCGGCCGGTTACGGAAGAAAGGTCCATCCACGGGACCTGGCACAGGACGACGGCGGCGAGGTTTTCCGGGGGGTTCCATCCGTTCTTCACTGTTAATACACTGCAGGCAGCATATCGCGTTCTCAACTCCAGACGTACGGCATATCGCGTTCTCAACTGTTAATACACTCTCAACCTGTGGTCTGCGGTAGCGGTCATCCGCGCCAACTTCGATCCCGGCGGAGACCCAAGGGACCGCTTGCATGGCCAATCAATGTCTGAAAAACCCTGGCCGAACGAAAAGAAGAGAGCGGCTTGCTCGCGGGAACTTTCGCTTCAGCGTCATATTTGAGGCGTGTGTGTGTGAGTGTGTGCGCAGCTGCGGCATCTCGCTGCTCAAGATTGCGCAGCGACAAGCTCTATATGCAAACTCTCTCTCTCTTCTTTTCTCCTTTTTTCTCTCTTTTTCTTTTTCTCTCTTTTTCTCTTTTTTTCTCTTTTTCTCTCTTTTTTTTTAGTGTGTTCTATTTTTCCTATAGCTCCTTCTTGCCGAGCCAGATCCAGAACGCCGAAATTGATGTGTACGAAAAAAACAACACATTTCGTCCAGATCCTATGCATTGCAAATACCGATCCGGGTCTGGAAGGATGGAACTTGTCATGGTACCTTTGGATTCGTTTTAAAATGTGTATTACTGCAGATATGTCTGGCTCTGGAAAAGTCGGGGCTTGTCATGCACATTTTGCATGAGCCCTCAGGTCTGTGATGCTGGTGCTAGCATCACAAATTTTCTGAGAGCTTCTTCATGCTAATTACGCATGACAAATGCCCTCTCCACGTGCCACGAGCTGACTCCTCTTGCTGCTCATGCAACACAGATATTTTTAGAATCCGCAGACACCATTACAAGTTCCACTCATCCAGACCCAGACATTTTTGCATTTGATAGACGTCCTCCCCCGACAAAAGAACTCGGGGATTTTTTACGCATTGGTGATTGCTCATATCGCACGAAAAAACTGTTTCACTGTGAACTTGTGATGCATAAAATGGAACACAGACGCATTTGTCTTACTACACATGCAAGACAATGGATTTCTAGCTGTGTTTTCCCTTAGGATCCCCGCATGACAGATTTTCAGTGTCATGCGTGTCAAACTTGTGATGCAGATTTCGCACAACCACCACAGTGAGCCAGTTTTTTCGTGGGATAGCTCATGTCAAGAGTGTGGTCCCAATAGCACCAATCGCACCCGATGCCGTTCGAAAGGACAGCAGAATAATAGTTACAGCGATACGCGCCAGAACGCCGAAATCGATGTGTACGAAAAAAACAACACAGGGCATGATGAAAACGAATGTACATACTGAATGACTGCCCTCTTCTTGTAAGTATTACTTATTACTACGACTCTGGTTCGTTCCTCTTCGTTTGAAGAAAAATACGGTTTGTGAGGATGAAATGTGGCCGCGGAAACATACGGTTTGTGAATTTATGGAATTGCGATAAATAAAAGGAAAACGAATAACAAATGAATGCTGCAATTGAGAAAAAGAAAACTAAACCTGTACATAATCCATCAAAACGTCCGCATGTTCTGCAAGCGGAAGTTGTAGTTCATCCAACCGTGACGTTGATCAAAAGGTCACAGCCGCTCAAATGTGCTCCGGCTCCTGCGGCGCGTCATGCTCCGGCTCTTCCGCCGCGTAGGTCTCCAGGTCGTAAGTATCAACTGCAAAAGTGTCGGGGTCTGGGAGAGTCGGGGCTTGTCATGCACATTTGCATGACCCGTGAGGTCTGTGATGCTGGTGCTAGCATCACAGATTTTTTGAGAGCTTCTTGATGCTAGTTACGCATGAGAAATGCCCTCTCCGCGTGCCAAGAACTGACTCCTCTTGCTGCACATGCAACACAGATCTTTTTAGAATCCGCAGACAGCAGTACAAGTTCCACTCTTCCAGACCCAGACATGTTCCCCCTGCATAATAAGACGCGTCCTGCATCTTTTTCAGCCTCCGCCCGGCATTGTCGGCTGACCGAGAGGACTTCTGTATCAACTGTAAAAATGTCTGGGTCTGGAAGAATGTGAACTTGTCATGCAGGTTTTCTATGACCCTTGAGGTGTGGAATGCGGGACCTAGCATGACAGAGGCTGTGAGGTCTCTTTCATGCCTATTCTGCATGAGAAACTGCCTTTAAACTTGTTCAAAAGTGGACCTCTTTTGGTAATCATGCAACACAGATTTTTGCATGATTCGGATTTAGCATGACAAGTTGCAATCTTCCAGACCCAGACATTTTTGCAATCCATATTCTGCCGCCCCGCCCGATAGCTGCGGGTACCCGCGGGTACCTTGGCAGCGTCGTAGCTGTGTTGATGTTTTTTGTTTATCACGCATGACCAGTATCTTAAGCTTAACAGACGGAATTTCGATTTTCTCATGCTCGAACGACATATTTGTACATCATGTCAGATTGTTGACATTGACTGTAGCGGACTCCTATATATACCTGTTCTCGTACCCCCCAGCGTAGTACCCGGTTTGCACGTCATCCAACGCCTGCGGCTATCAAATGCAAATATGTCTGGTGTTTTGTCTGGAAACAAGACCTTGATACAGCACGGGGAAGAGAACGACTTCAACTTTTTGAAGAAACAAAAGTAAAAGAGAACTACGCTGATGCACTATGTAGAGAGAGACTAAAAGCATGCTATGATGTCCACCGGTGGAACTAACTACTGCTACTTATACTGTCATGTCTGGGTCTGGAAGAATGCAATATGTCATGCAGATTTTCCATGACCCATGAGGTCTGAAATGCGGGGCCTAGTATGACAAAGTCTGCCAGGTCTCTGTCATGCCTATCCTGCATGAGAAATCCCCTCCCAACTTGGTCGAAAGTGGACAGCTTTTGGCACTGATGCAACACAGATTTTGGCATGATTCAGATTGAGCATCACAACTTACTGTGGTCTTCCAGACCCAGACATATTTGCAATGCATAGCGGCTTGCGCTTCTTGCGGGAAGCCTCGTCCAGAGAGGTTATAACCCGCTCAGGTGTTACAATCTCAAACGTTACAATAGAATCTGGAATTTGTGTTGCAAGAAGTGCATGACCTACCCTACTCCCACAGGATTGCGCATGACAAGTTCTGGAGTCCCAATCCGCACTACAATCTGGCGAAATTTGTATTGCAAATAGTGGAACGCTGTCCGAGTCTGTCATGTTGGTCATGCAAGACAAATCTCAGATTCTATTGTAACGTTTGAGATTGTAACACCTGAGCAGGTTATAGAGGTGCGTCCGCGTTTCTGAGATCCAGATCTGTTTCCACGACCTTGCGCGTCGTAGGAAGATGAACCGTAGCCTGCGTAGTGGTCGTCGGCGTAAGATGAACCGTGGTTATAATTCCAATCGTCGTCATGCCAGTCGTCATCCCCTCCACCAACTTCAATCTCCGCCATTTCAATTGCCTCCCCTTCCGCGTCGTGAAATTTGTGGTCTGGCGACGCCGTTGTAGAAGAATTATTTGTCGGGTCAGCAAATGTTGATCCCATCGGCTTCGGCAGGTTGTTTTTCATGTTTTCGTTCGCAGCTTTCATGTCGTAGGACACCAAGTCATTGGTCGTCATGATGCCCTCCCCGGTGGCGCCCGGGGCGTCCGCGGGCCCGAGGATATCGAATGCAAATATGTCTGGGTCTGGAAACTTGTGATGCTAAAATGTGCATGATGAAAGCACTTCCTCATGCAGGAAAGCATGACAAGCTTGCAGAACGCTTTCTCGTACGAACTCCGCATGAGAAACTGCGTTTCTGTCTGACATGAGACGAGGCTGCCACTTTATTTGTTGGTCATCATGCAATACAGATTTCACAGGAATGTAAGAACAGCATTACAAGTTCCAACTTTCCAGACCCAGACATATTTGCAATGCATAGAGGAGACCCTTGACGGATTTGCGCTGGTCTCGTCCCGCCTCCTTGCCCTCGGACCGGAGAAGGGCGTCGTATCGTGTGTAAAAACCACAGGGCCCAGGAGCACACCAGAGTAATCTTCAAGATAGGACGTTTGCTACATAAATCAGCAGGCTTTGGCTGTTGCGCATAACAAGTTCTTTGGGTACACTCTGGTGTAGTTGTAGTGGTCGTGTTTGGCTAGTACATTAAAGCCGCATCACAAAATAGAATCTAGCTGCTCCCTATCCTGATTAGAGCAGGACAAAGTTCTTGTACCAAGCAGCATGGGAAAGTGCTGCTCATGAAATTGCGTGCATGAGAAACATTTTAGGCATGCAGATTTGCATGACATCTAACTCTGGGCAGGTCGTGTGGGCCCCGGTTTTTCCTCAGGATACGTGGCAGTACAAAATCGCGTTGGTACTGTAAACGATCAGCATCTGCACAAACTGGAAGATGACGGCACAGGCACAGCCGACAAAGATTCCGGTAATATCAAATGCAGAAATGTCTGGGTCTGGAAACTTGTGATGGTGCAAGTCAGTGATCAATAAGTGAACTGTAATGCGCAGCCGAGCATGACAAGTTTTTTTCGTGCTTCTGTGCCGCCAATTCCGCATGAGAAACTGCGTTTTTGCATGACACGCGAGAGAGGCTGTTCGTGGCCACGCAATACAGATTGCAGAGTCATGCCAGACTAGCATGTCAAATCTGGCAATCTTCCAGACCCAGACATATTTGCCTTTGATATGTAAACAAACCGTGCAAAACGTTGTTTTCGTCCAGATCCTATGCATTGCAAATACCGATCCGGGTCTGGAAGGATGGAACTTGTCATGGTACCTTTGGATTCGTTTTAAAATGTGTATTGCATGAACAGCAAAAGACATCCAGTTTTTTGCTACGCGGAGAGGGCATTTCTCGTGCGGTATGGGCATCAGAAAGTCCTCGCAGAGTCTGTGATGCTACGGCTTGCATCACAGACATCATCGGGCAGGCAAAATCTGCATAACAAACTCCAGCAAGCTTCCAGACCCAGACGTATTTGCATTTGATAAATCCTTGATGGCATTCCAGTCGGCGATATCAAATGTAAAAATGTCTGGGTCTGGAAGATTGCAACTTGTGATGCTGTCTCTACATTCTAAAAAAATCTGTATTGCATGAGTAGCAAACGGAATGCAATTTTTGCTACGCTGAGAAGACATTTGTCATGCGGAATAGGCATCAAGAAGCCCTCAAAAAATCTGTATTGCTAGGGTATGCATCACAGACATCATGGCTCATGCAAAACGTGCATGACAAGTGTCAGAATCTTCCAGACCCAGACATTTTTACATTTGATACGCGATCAGGATGAGCAGGATCAAGCCGAAGATGGGCCCAAAGCCGAGGCCGATCACGAACATTATCGCAAGAAAAAACTGTTTCACTGTGAACTTGTGATGCAGAAAATGGAGCACAAAACTATTTGTCTTGCTACACCTGCATAGAGCATTGGAGTTTCAACCGTGTTTTCCCTTTTGGAATCGCGCATGGCAAATTTTCTGTGTCATGTGTATACAAACTTGTGATGCGGTTCTTGCAAAATCATCACAGTGGAACAGTTTTTTCTTGCGATAAACATCCACATAAGGATGATGAGAACGAAGAGAACAAACACGCTCACGTCAAAATTGTCGTTTCCGAAGACGCCCTGTTCGATTTGGTTATCCATGTAGACCCAAGCCATCATGCCCTATCAAACGCAAAAATGTCTGGGTCTGGAAGATTGCGAGATTTGTCATGCTTGTCTGGCATGACCAAAAAGTTTGTGATGCGTGTCCAAGGAGGGACCCTTTTGCCTGTCATGCTTGTCATGCGAAAAACGCAACACAAAGAAGCGCAGATATTTATCATGCTTGCCTGTGCATTACAGAGCATTCACTGTTCCCAACGCAGCATTACAAGTTTCCAGACCCAGACATATTTGCAATCCATATGCCCATGCCGGTCGCAACCAGCACCCGGTGCACCGTAAAAGTGGACGTCAGTGCGTAGTCCTGCACGGCTAAACCCAGCACGCCCTGGTTGCTATCGTCCTGAAACAGGTTAAACACTTTCATCGCCGTGGCGCAAATCGGGCCGGAGTGAATCGTATGAACTGCAAAAGTATCGTACTCGCATAAATGCATTACAGATTTCCTCAGCATGAGAAAAAAGATTTGTAATGCGGGTTTACCTTGACAAAAAGATTTGTAATGCATGATTGCAATACGAGTACTATACTTTTGCACAGGATAAATCGTGTGACCGACGACCAAGTACTTGGTGAAGGGTTCGACGAGACACTTGATTCCCATCCAGAGCTATCAAATGTAAAAGTGTCTGGGTCTGGAAGGTTGGAAGACTTGTCATGCAGGTTTTCCATGACGCTTGAGGTCTGTAATACATGACCCAGCATGACAGCTTCTTCTCGACCTCTATCATGCCTCGTCTGCATGAGAAAGTCCCTCTCAGCTTGGTCAAAAGAGGAGAGCTTTTGGTAATCATGCAACACAGATTCTTGCACTATCGAGAATTAGCATGACAGGTTGCATTCTTCCAGACCCAGACATTTTTACAATCCATAAGAGCGCGAAGCACAACAAGTCCGTGCAGCAAAACCCGAAATTCCAACAACAGCAAAGAATCGGGTTTGCGGCCACGTTCTCCGCCCGCCGGCGGATCTCGTACGTCAACGAAACAATGATGGACGCGAACATGTTAACCCCGGCAGAGGTCGTGTACGCCATGGAAAACCCGACGGCTCCGGGGTTGCGAATCGCCGGTGTGTTTCCGTACAGCTTTGCTGCGGTTCCCGAGTGGAAGGTCCAGTTGGCGACGCCGGTTGTGCAAATGATGAGAATCACCTGGCGCAGAAAGATTACCAGCGGAAAGAAGACGAGCCAGAGCATGGTCTGACAGAAAACACTCGCGCTCGTTGTCTTCAGCTCACACAGGCTGGCGCTGTTGTTTGTGGGGTTCGCGTGCCGAATAAGCGTTCCAGTATACCGCCACTCCACCCAATTTCCGGACTCGATGAACCCAACGAGCCAAAAGGCGAGAAAACCGCCGAAAACCAAAAACTGCAGCATGGAAAACAATATCACGTCTTTGGCTTTGTTCAGACACGACATGGCCTTGCTCGCACTGTCGGCCGCTTCGGAGACTTGCTTGAAGTAAAGAATGGTCACCACGGTGACTACCACAGCGGGAATCATATCAAATGCAAATATCGATCTGGGTCTGAAAGATTGCAGGAGTTTGTCATGTATCTACTTCTGGATCACGCAACTGGTCCCTCGTGCTGCACGCAAAAGCATCACAGGATTTGCGCACGCCTCCTGATGTCTATCCCACATGAGAAATCCCCTATTTGCGTAGCAAGAAATGGGAAGCTTTTGGTGCTTCTGCAATACAGATTTTTGTCTAGTCCAGACTTAGCATGACAAGTTCCAATTCTTCCAAACCCAGACAGATTTCCAACTGATAAATCAGCAGGTACCATAAATGTTTCGGGTCGACGCAGAATAGCGCAATCATGGCGATCACACCCAGGGCGATGGTGCCAAAAATCATCACCTTCGGGGCGTAGTAAAGCGCCAACAGCCACAAAACCAGCAGCCAGGTGAAGGCGAGAAAAGAGATCAGCGGCACCTCCCACTGCTCCGCCATCGTTTCCCACACCGTCTTCCGATCGTCGCTCGCGCTCAGTTATCCTGTGCAAAAGTATCGCACTCGTAGTAATCGCAATTATGCATTACAAATCGTTTTCCTAAGGTCAATCAGCATGAGAAATTTCATTTGTAATGTTTCGCAAATTTGTAATGCGAGTTCTACTAGTACGATACTTTTGCACCGCATATCAGCCGCCGCCGCAAGTGCCGCGCTTCTTGCAGCAGCCGCTTCGCCTGCAGCCGTTTTTGCAAGTGCCGCTCTTCCAGTTCCGCCCGCTGTTGTAGTTCTTCCTCCCCGTACGAACTAGGCAGGAACTTGAAATCTTCATGGCTTTCGAGTTCGTGCTATGCATTGCAAATATGTCTGGGAGGTCTGGAATAAACTTGTAATGCTGAGTTGCGTAGCATGAGGAGGCCAAGAATGATGGCCCAGAATGACAAGTTTCCGAGCTTCTAGGTGTAGTTGCCTACACTGCATGACAAACTGCGTTTCAGCATCACAGAAAAATCGGCCTTTTGAGTAATCGGTGCATGACAGACTTGAGAGTCTTGCTAGCCGAGCGAGACAAATTTCGCATTCTTCCAGGAGACCGCCCAGATCCATATTTGCAGTTGATACGTGCACTTGTTGCAGTAATTGGCGGATTCTCAAATGGCCTGCATCTCCGCGCTCCTGCAAATCGTCTTCCTCACCACCAGGAGCGACGTTATGCGTTGCAAATATGTCTGGGTCTGGAAACTTGTGATGCTAATTTATGAATTGCGGGGACACGGCAATAGGCAGCCACGCATGACAAGTTTCTGGGCTCCTATGTGTTTCGCTTTCCGCATGACAAACTACATTTTTGCATGACAGGCAAGAGGGTCTTTTGCTGCTCACGCATTACAGGTTCAAGAATCATGTGAGACAAGCATGACAAACATCTGCATTCTTCCAGACCCAGACACTTTTGCATTTGATAGACGTCCTCCCCCGACAAAAGAACTCGGGGATTTTTTACGCATTGGTAATTGCTCATATCGCACGAAAAAACTGTTTCACTGTGAACTTGTGATGCATAAAATGAAACACAGAAGCATTTGTCTTGCTACACATGCAAGACAACGGATTTCTAGCTGTGTTTTCCCTTAGGATTCCCGTATGACAGATTTTCAGTGTCATGCGTAACAAACTTGTGATGCAGATTTCGCACAACCACCACAGTGAACCAGTTTTTTCGTGGGATAGCTCATGTCGAGAGTGTAGTCCCACTGGCACCAATCGCACCCAATGCCGTTCGAAAGGACAGCAGCATAATAATTACAGCGGTACGCGCCCATCGCACCTCCCCCGGGGCAGATGCAACCCGTCGACGGTGCTATGACAGTGCACAACTCCTCCTCCCCCTCATTTGTCGTGCGAAATCCCAACTCCAGTCGCTGCATTGTGGCACTGTGTGCATGACAAAAAATTCCGGAGGGGGCCAAAAAGTACTACATGATCAGGCACTACGTAGATTTGTCCATGCATAGGCTCCACATGTGGTGCGCGGGTGTTTGTATTGCTGTTCATGTCATACATAGAAGTGGGAGGGGGAGTTGTGCCCTCTCATAGGTGCGACCGTGCTTGTAGAAGTCGAGGCTGAATCGGGAACGCATTGCATCGTAAGGAAAAATCCCCCCGCCCCATATCGAAAAGGAAATTTGTGATGCTGATTTGTGGCCACTGCGTACACAGCAAACGGCACTCCTGCGGCGCATTGTAAGTACAGCGAGTCTGTCACGCGTTTTCGCATATGCCAGACTTGCTTCTCATGCTCAGTTGCTAGCCGGATGCGTACCCGAGTGGGCGTAGAACATGCCGCCACGCTCTTGCTGCAATAGATGAAAGCTCCTTTGTGTACACAAATCCAGCAACACAAATTGTCTTTTGAATATGGGGTAGGGGCTTTTTTCACGTTGATACATTGGTAAAGGTTAGGTGAGTTACTGCGTGTGTAGCCGATATTACAGCCTCCACACCCGACTCCGTTCGTCAGCGTGCCGTAGACACTTCTGCACTATCAAATGCAAAAATGTCTGGGTCTGGAAGAATGCAACTTGTGATGCTGCATTAGCATTTGGATGTCTAAAACTAAAATTAAAAGAATTGTGTTGCATGAGCAGCAAAAGGAGTCTAATTTTTGCTACGCGGTAGTAGTAGTAGTCACCATTTGACTCCTGGCGGGTCGGCGTTAGAACAGATTTAGCCTCTGCGAATACAGCCTGGGCGTTAGAACAGATTTAGCCTCTGCCAATACCACCTGGGCGCTAGAACAGGTTTAGCC